ATTTCAGTTCCTTTGCATTTACTTAAGCATGTTCTATGAGGTAGCATGTGGTCTGTTTTGGAGAACGTCCTGTATGCAGCTGAGAAAAATGTATATTCTGATGTTGTGGGGTGGAAGACTCAGACATCTACCAGCCCATTTGTTTAAAAGTTTGATTCAGCTCTGATATTTCTTGGTTGATTTTTTGTTTATCTAGTTGATGTTTCTATTTGTGATGGTGGGGTATTGAGGTCCCACATCTCAACTGCGTTAGTGTTTATTTGGTTTTTCATGTTTGTTAGTATTTGTTTTATATAGTTGGGTTCGCTAGTATTTGGTGCCTATGTATGATTGTTATTGCTTCCTCTTGGATGGTTCCCTTAACAAATATGTAGTGACCTTCTTTGTTGCACTTAATCAGTCCTGGCTTGAAATCCACTTTGTGTGCAAATATAACTACCCTTGCTTTTTCAGTTTCCTGTCAAATGGAGTATTATTTTTTATCCTTTGACTTTCAGTCTGTGAATTTCTTTTTCAGTTGTGTTTTTTGTGTATTGTTTATTGTTGGCTCTTGCCTCTTGATCTGTTCTGCCAGTTCCTTTTGATTGGTGAAATGAGACCATTAACATTGATGATTATAACTGATACGAATTGGCTTACCCTTGTCATGTTACTTTCCTTTTGTTGCTTCGTTTTTTTCCCCGTTCTGTTTACTTACTTGCCTTGCCTGGTGGATTCATTCTGTGAGATTCATGGAGTTGTAATTGTTACCTCTTTCTAGAATGTCCTACAGAACATTTTGGAGCGCTGGGTTGGTGGTCATGAATTTCCTCAAGTGTTCTTTGTCATGGAAGTATCTTATTTCTCCATCAGTTGTGAAAGATGGTTTTACAGGGTACATCAGTCTGGGTAGGAGGTGGTTTTCTTTTAGGACTTGAAATACTTCACTCTAAGCTGTCCTTGACTTGATAGTTTGTGTTGAGAGGTCTGCTGTGATTCTGATGGGCTTTCCTTTGTAGGCAGTTTGTTTCTTTTCCCTAGCAGCTTTTAAGATTCTGTTCTTGTTCAGTTTCTGGAATCTTGACTGTTATATGCCTTGTTGTAGGTTTTTTTGATTATGACTAATTGGAGTTCTGTATGCTTCACTTTTCTGTTTGCCAGATTCTTTTTCCATGTTTGGAAAGCTTTTTTCCATGACCTCACTGAACAGGTTTTTTGGGGTCATGTGTGCTATCACCTGTTGTTCATTGACTCTGATCAATCGTTTGTTACTGTTCTTTGCATCATCTAGCAGCTGCTGGATTGATTTCTTGGAGTCCCTTTTTTTTTTTTTTTTTTTTTTTTTTTTTTTTTTTTTTTTTTTTTTTTGGCTGGGGGTCGTTCTAAGCACTTTGCATTAGCCATGAGCTAACTTTACTCTTAAAAGCAAGGCAATATTTTTTACCTGCTAGGCAAGAAATTTTTTTCTGAAGTACAAATTAAGCAATATTAAAAATTACTTAATTATGCTGATTATCTGTTCTTTTTTTTTTTTTTTTTTTAAGAAATCTTTCTTTTCATGATCACTAACACCGTCCTGTCTTCTGTATCTGAGCTTCTGTCCTCACATTGGCTCATCCTACTGCTGGTGCTTTCACTGGAACTTTTTATCTCTTGGATATCTGTTTGAATCTGTTTCATGAATTCCATTTTGTCCCTATGTTGGATGTTCCTTGGTTTCCATCATTTTCTTAAGCTCGTCTTTTTTTTAAATCTGTAAGTGCTCCAGAGTCACTGACGATGTCTTTCATTAGGGTCACCATCTCTATAGTTCTTTGAAAAATTATTTCTGATTTGACTTTCTTCTGGAACCTTGTTTGTTTGGCTTATTACTTCTCGTTACCACTTCAGAGAGAGTCTAGTTGGGTGGCTTTTGTGTTGTTCCTCCTCCCTGCCCCCTGGGTTTCACTTTGGCGAGCTGTAAGTCCGGGTTTGTATCTTGCTTAAGGGTCATCTCATTTTCTTTTCTTTGCTTGTTTTTCTTTTTAAACTTTAATGCCTGGGTTGTATTGCTTATGGCAGCTAATTTTATTGCTAGTTTTGAGAACTTTTAGGAAATGACTACTTCTCAGAGCTGTCTTTTAGGCATAACTGGCTTTTGTGTTTTGAGTCTGTTGCAGGATCCTACCTCTTCAGTTTATTGAGGATGAGAAGTTGCTACCTAGTTGGTCTACTGCCTGCTTCCTTGGCACTGGGCTGTGGTATTGGTTATGACCCTTAGACAGTCTTGGCATACCAGGAAGAACAGCTGATGGGAACAGTTATGTCATCTTGGCTCAAGTAGTACAATCGGTAATATCAGTAGCATTAAACACAGCCGACAAGATGACAAACTGTTGTTTGACACCTTTAGCTGTATGAACTAGGTTTGTGGTTATTTAACAAAATCTAAAACCGACTAGAAAATTGTGTTCAGTAAATATGCCCTCACTGTGGTGATTTTACTCTCAGGGGAGAAATCTTAAAAGGAGTTAGGGGGGAAAAAATAGAAGAGGAAGAGATCAGAAGCAAAGCTGGAAGAGAAAGGAACATTGTGTGAACTTTGGGAAACTGGTGAGGAGGGCAGGAGGGAAGGAGAAGAAATACAAACAAGTACAGAACAACAACAAAAAATAGAAACAGTGTTCATACTCACACAATAACAAGAACTAAATAGTCAAGGAAAAAATAAAATAAAACAAAAACAAAAGAAATCAAGACCATGTCTGCTTCAGGGCATGTCTCTACTGCCACTGGTGGACGGAGTGGGCAGGCAGAGTGCAGATCCACGGATCCATGGTGATTAGTTCCAGCAAGCCCACGGCAGATTTACGCCAGGGCAGTGGATGATTTCAGCGAGCCTGTACCTTTAGTTCCACCGAAGATCAAGCTGGGTTCTGGTTGCAAGGCTGGAACCTGATTTGTTCAGTTTTCAACACTCCACTCTGTGCTTCCTGCCTGCTTGAACTTGGCTCTGCTTTACCCTGACGCTGCGATCGGCTACATGGAGCCAGCCTGCAGGTGTCTGAGTTCCGAGCTCAGCGCTCAGCTGGCCCTTCTCCAAGATGCTCCCGGGCACTTGCCCTCTCCTGGGCAGTGTCTGAACCCAGGTAACTCACCAGCCTCTGCAGTCCGCTGTGTCCACTGCTGTGTTCCGCTGGTGGTTTCTCTCTGGAGGCCTCTGGGGTCCCCAGTAGTCACTGTGAGTCTCTAGGTTGGAGCCACCCCTCCCAGGCAGTGAGCCAGGGCTCAGGGAGAAAGGCGCTGATTGCCACCTCCTTCTTACGTGTTGAGGTCTCTTCTCCCCATGGGCTTCCCTTCTCACTTCAGATCCTTCTGGGTCCCAGGGACCCACTTCCTTCTTTTCCTCATGTTGCTATGTTCCAGTGTCTGGACAGCGAGTCTCGGAGAGGCTGTTTTCCTGCTATCCGCCACGGCAGTCCTGTGATGACATTTGTCAAGAAGCTGGAATCTCAAGCTGGGCATGGTGGCACACGCCTGTAGTCCCAGCACTCTGGAGGCAGAGGCAGGAGGATTGCCCAAGTTTGAGGCCAGCCTGGGCTATGTAGTTAGTTCAGGGGCAGCCTGAACTATAGAGCAAGACCTTGTCTCAAAAAGACAAAAAGAGGGGGATGATATAGCTCAGTGGCACAGCACCTGCCTAGCAAGCTCAAGGTCCTGAGTTCGATTCTTGGTGCAAAAAAAAGCTGAAATCTCAAGTGGCGTGATTGCACAACTCCAGTAAAAGTGACAAAATTTCATGTTACACATTATTAGTGATGCATGTTTTATAGCACACTTTAAAATAGCTCTCAGGTGTAACTCCACAGCTGACTGACTGTACCAGACCCCTCTCAGGTGTAACTCCACAGCTCACTGACTGTACCAGACCCCTCTCAGGTGTAACTCCACAGCTCACTGACTGTACCAGACATCTGGAACACGTCGCGCAGTGTTACCGAGGTTTCCTGTGCTTGTCTGTTGGGTGGTACACAGCAGTAGCATTCACCATAATTTTTGATTACACTGTATATCTTAGTGCTGAGTTTGTCCGAGTGCTCAGTATGTATTGTTAGTATCCGTATGTAAGAGGGCTAAATCAATTTTTCTTCCTCTTTTTCTTCCTTTCCTTCTTCCTTTCTTCTTCATCCCTTCCTTCCTACCTTTATTGTTCCTTCCTTCCTTCCTTCCTTCTGCCATTTTTCCCCCCATATTGGGGCTCATAGCCAGGAACACTGTACCACTGAGCTACACCACCAGATCATTTTTAAATTTTGGATAGCATTGTAGTTACCCAAGCTGGCCCTAAACTTTTAATCCTCCTGCCTCAGCCTCCCAAGTAACTGGTATCACAGGCATGCACCACCATGGCTAAATAACTGATCATTAAGGAAATTTTGCTTTTCAAAGATTTCAGCCAGAAAAACATGTTTTAGTATCTATAAATAGCACAGATTTAAAAATCACTCAATATGTTTTTCATGAACATAAACCTTTCTTAAAATTGTATTACATGCCACCGTTCAGGCTTCTCCGGCAGTGCTAAATGACTAAACTTGGCTGCAGTCCGATCTCAAACTAAGTGTAAAGTAATCAGAAATAATTCTGAAGGCTTTAACATACGAAAACAAAATTTTCCAAAAATGATTTATTTGATTAAGGTTTGTTTTGTTGGGAGTGCCTTATATTGGATGTGTATTTTTAGATTTTTGGAATACTTACATGCAGAGCGTGGGCAAGACAGCTTTCCACTTGAATTTAATACTAAGTTTTTTCTTCATACATAGGGAGAGGAATAACTGAGACATGCCCTGCCCCATGGTACCACGTTGTTCAGTAGTACTCTGTGTAATAGTTCTCTGGTGGATCACTGTCGTTCAGAGAATACCACATTAAATTTTGGCATTAATCTTCACAAGAAGTTTGTTTGATATACTAAGCCTTTTTTCTGTGTCTTTTCTCTTCTGTCTGTCCGCGTGTTTGTGTTCCCGTGTTGTGTACAGAGCAAGATTTGAACTTCTGTGTTCTTCACTGTTTAATAAATGTATAGACGCAATCCGAGATCTCTTAGATCAGAGTGGATTTACAGCAGATGATATCAACAAGGTAATGCTTTTATCTTTTTCTGATTATTTTAGGAGCAGTTTCAGATTTGAAATTTAAGAAATAGTTCTTGGTATGGCAAAAAGTGTTTTTATGTATGTAAGTATTTTCAGAAAATTAATAAGGAAAGTCACTAACTTTTGCTTAGTGGCTCTGGTAAATTGAATTTTATCTCCATATGCACTCAGTTTTCTAGCACAACAGAATAATTTCTTCCCAGTATATTTCTGTGAGATGAACAGATCCCTGAATGCATTAAATGTGCAAAGGCATTGTCTTTAAGTGCTTTGCATATATTAAGTTGTGGATTACCCACAAAACCTCCGTAAGGTCGACCCTGTGGTTTATCCCTGTTTTACTGGGTCATGTGGTTAGTGAATAGTAGAGCCAAGATTTAACCCAGTGTCATTCCTGAGTCTGTTCTTACTGTGCAGCAGGCCACATTTCTGCTTGCTTAGGTACCAAGTCTGAACTACATTCAGATTGTTCAATGTTTTCCCTTCCTGCAAAATTATTTCTGTCAAGCATATTAAAAGATGTATATGATATTTTTCATTTTCATTGTTCAAGCAGTGAGTGTTCAATAAGAAAATTCAGAAAATACCAAAAGCCAACCAGTGTTATATTCCAAAATTTTTCATAAGGCTTTGTATGCATGTTTGTTTGCAAGCTGTAGTATTGTGGGTTTTTTAAAAAAATAGCTTTGAATTTTATATGTATACTTACAAGTTTCACTCTTTCCTTAATATTATAATCCATTCCTTTCCCCATGTAACTGTATAGTCCTTATAAATACTTTTTAAAGTAGGTTATTCATATACTAGAAATGGAAAGGTACCAGCAACAGAACTGTTTTGTTGTTTCCTTATTTAAGGTAGGTCTTTCTACTGGTTTTTTTTTTCTGTTTTTCATTTTACGGTTCCCTCAGCTAGGGTGGATATTCACCTCTCATCACAGAACAACGCTTGTCTTTGGACATAAGCTTATACCAGGTTTAAGATTAATCCCATGGTAAAATTACTGGGTCAAAGTTATAAGTAGCTTAAGACTATTTTTATCTTGTTCCTTTCCAAAAGAAATTAATATATTATACATTTTTACTATAACCTTGCTGACACTGAGCATTGCTGTTCAAAGATAAATTTCTAATTGACCATTTTTTAAAAAGATGTATTTTCACATTATATTTTGTTGGTGAGTATATTATTTTTAGATACTTACTTGATTTTGTATCTCCTTAAGTGTATCCATTTGATAGTGTTTGACTATTTAATCATTTAAATCTTAACAGTTTTTTTAATTGTGTGAAAAGCTTGTGTAATCAGACTATTAATTGCCATTTACTGTAATGTTCTTTTGTTTTTGGGGGGTTTTTTTTTTTGGTCTTTTTGGGACAGGGTCTCGCTATGCAGTTCAGGTTGGCCTTGAGCTCACTTTGTAGCCCAGGCTGGTCTCGAACTCGCAACAATTCTCCTGCCTCAGCCTCCCAAGGGCTGGGATTACAGGCATGCACCACCATACCCGGCTAACTCTTCTTTTGAGGCATGTACCTTCTGTTTAATTTCAGGCCTGTTATGAAAGAAGATACTCAAAATACACAAGTTTCATTTATTTGTTTAAATCTGATTGACCTATTACTCTTAATTACTTGAGCTGCTTTTTTGAGCTGTGTGATAAATATTAATGCTGTTTTCTTTTAACTTCTCTATAGTTTGAAAGTTTTTGTATTTTTAACATTTTTGGTATGTGCTGTGTGACAAATAGGTTATTTTGTAAATTGGTTCAGTAAGTTTGTTTGGCTTGGCTTTGTGCTTACTGTTCTTTTGTTTGGCTTTTATATGTAATAGGCCCTGGGAGTTAGGTGCCTGAGGTCAGAGGTGAGGACCGCAGGTGCGCGGGGGAAGAAGGGATGCCCCTAGGCTGGGGAGCCTCCCTGTGCTGATGGTTCTGACCCGGGCCAGTCAGTTCATTTCCTGAGCCATGCTTTTCTCTTAGCTTAGGAGTGAGTAGGACCTCACTCCCCGGAGCTGTTAGGAAGAGGGAATGCGGTGCCCTTCATACAGTTCATGTATGAATTGTTTTTCCAAAGCTAATGCCTCGGTTTGGAGGTTTGATTGCAGCATTGGCACTTTGTGATAATTGCAGTTCGGGCACTGGGTCTCTGAAAGGCTTGCATCACTGCCCTAAATGTTAATACTTGTAGTATTTGCTGTGAAGGTGCTCACACGGTGCGCAGCGCACTCGTTCCTCCTGTGAACTGGCCGTGGACACTTCATTATCACTAGCAGTGCAACTCTGAGTTGCTTCAATTGGAACAGAAGCTTCTTAAGGTTAAGAAGGTATCAAAGACTTCCCCTCCAGGTACTCCCCGAGTACAGGAAGTTAGAATTGTGAGGTGGTGTCTTCAGTTCATTGATCTTGCTGTGGTGAGCAAACAACAAGGCACTCTCGGGAGTTTCTGGAGCAGACATTTTGTCTCACTCAGGCTGCCTGCGGGCAGCTGACGGTGGCTGGTGTGCCATCGTGGCCCTGCTGCCCCCCTTCTTTTCCTAGGACTCCGGCTAGGGGACACACGGCAGCTGTCTTGGTGGAGGGAAGGGCAGTTGAGAACATGCACTGCTCAGTGTGTGTCGTCGTGTCGGTGTCTGTGTGTGGTACTAGGTTAAACCCAGAGATTCTGTTATGTACTACAATCCTCAGCTCTTGGCAAGCCCCTAATTTGCCCAAGCAGGACTAGAACTATTGTTCTTTCTGCCTCAGCCTCCCAGAACACTGGTATTACAGGCTCGCACCACCACGCCCAGCTGAGACACTGATTTTATTTTATTTTATTTTATTTTATTTTATTTTTAATTTTTTTATTTTAAAGAATAAAAGAAGGATAACATAATAGGGGGGACTTAGCAAATTACAGACAAAATGGTAGGAAATTATCAATGGTTATCGTTTTACATGTTATTATGTACAAAATAGTTTCTCAGGAAAACAAATAGACAAATAATAGTGAGTTAGAGACAAAAGAGGTAGGAGATTATCAAGAGTTGTTGTGCTATACTTTG